TTTACCGAAACCGCACCGCAAAATTTATTATATAATTAAATTATATATATAATTATATATTTGATAATTTAATAAAATTAAAGTATATATATATATATATATATATATATATATATATATATATATATATGTTTATTTATTTACAATTGGAGAAAAGAAAATAGAGGGAAATCTGAAAAGAAATTGGGACATTGGAGAGAACAAAATTACCACTTCAAAAGAAATCTAAAAGAAAAAGTATCTATCCTTTTCGGCCCTCAAAATCTAACCCTAAAATCAATGAAATTTCCTATACTATCCAAACTAGCTAGACATGTTTTAGCAATGCCGATATCAACACTTGTATCGGAATCAGTGTTTAGTACGGGTGGTAGAGTTATCGACAAGTATAGAAGTTCACTTAATACCGAAACCGTGAAAGCTTTGATTTGTACACAAGATTGGATAAGACATACAAGGGTTGATCTTGAACTCGGTTGTTCTATGAAGAATAAAGACATATATGAGTTTAATGAGAAGATGGCGAGTTTAAAAATTGGTAAAGATTTCTTTATATGTTTGTTCATATTTCAAATATACTAATATATTTTTTTTTGCTTTTTTTTTCTTCTAGGAAGCACTAGTGGAAAATGATGGATTTTGGCAAAGTTGTGGAAGTTGTGGGTGGAATTTGGCTACAGATGTCTATTGTCTGATCGATAGTTGGAAAGTGAAAAACTGGAAAAACTTTATATTTGTTCTTTAATCTGTTGCAAGTTTATCGATTTTGGATCAATCTAGTGGCTAATGTTGTTGACTTGTTTAAACTTGTAATTTTCTACTTTGACTTGTTGCAATTTGTGTCATTTAAATGGTTATTGGCCTACTGTCATGGTTTATTAGTAAATGAGATTATTGGTTTATAAGATGCTAAATAAATATGGTTATTTATTTATTTTAGACATTTGAATTTTCCTAGTTTTGGGCCATTATAGTAATTTGCGGTTTAAAACCGAAATCGCACCATTACAAACCGCAACCGCAAATAAAACCGCAATAACCGTACCGCAATAAAACCGCACCTAGCAGTTTTACATAAAGAAAAACCGCACCTAGCAGTATGAGTTGCGGTTTTAGGCTAAAACTGCACCATGCTCACCCCTATCGTCTACTCTTTCAGGGCTCATCAGCCCATAATATATAATGGTTTATTTTTCAGATTAGGTCATTTACCTACCTTTTTCTTGGTTTTCCTTACTATTTTCTCTCAATGGAGTTTTCAAAGAAACAGAGGTATGTGTCGTTTTTGCCAAAATTTTGCCGTATTATTGATATTGATTAGGAGTAGTTTTTATACGTATAGTTTTTTTTTTTTCTAAAAAAAATTGAAAAAAAAATATGAAACCATAGGCTTCATACGAAACCTACGGTGTACAAGTATACAATGCACAGATTGTGCATTGTGTACTTGTACACCGTATGTTTCGTATGAAGCCTACGTTTTAGAGTTTTTTTTTCGATTTTTCGATTTAATTTGCTTGTAAGTTGTATATAAATGTATTATGGTTCACATTTAATGCTTTTTTTTTTCCAAAAAATAACAAAAAAAAGGAAACTGTAGCCCAACCGAGAGAATACCGTAAATAAAATAATATCTACGGTTTAGTCCAAAAATGATTTTCTTTATAGTAAAACCAAAACAATAGGCAAAAAGACGAAACAATAGACAAACCTAAAAGTCTACGATTTCAATGGCTATTTTGTGACAATTGCTAATTTCTGATTAAAAATAGATATATAATTAATGTTTTTGGCTAGTTTAGTAATTTTCTCGGTTTTTATTGGTTTTGGTTCTTAAAACTAACATCCCTTAGTTTTGGTCATTTATGTTTGATTAAATGATTTTCTTCCCTCCATTTTTATATTTTCATCAACACTATTTTCATTTATATTAATTTTTACAAAATAAATAAGGGTATACAGACACTATAAATATATGGTCTCTTTCATCGAACATGTTCTTCATCCCTTCGGATCTCCACCATTGTTGTCGTCCTCTTTTGCCACCACCGGTGGTAGTCACCATTTCCCTTCATTTGATAAAGGTTTTTTCGGTCACGATTAGGGCTTTGTCGACCTTTTTCCAATCATGGTTAGGGCCTTTTTTAGAATTATTAATGAAAAGTGGTATTTAGTGATATATCTAAATTTCATAAAAAAAGAAGTATTGGTTAGAGCTGTCATTCGGTTATTAGTATTTTTAGATGATTATTATTGTTTTACCAAATAATGAAAGTAAAAAAAAAAGTATGGTTGGATGATAGCTTATTTTATTTCCTTATTTTTATTAGTTTATTTTAGATTTTTAGCTCTTTTTATTAGTATTGCATTGTATATTCTTTATTTTCTTTATCATGGATCATATCGGAGACTTTTTATTTTGCATGAGGAATTTTGCAGGGTTTTGGAGCTCATTGCGGTTGTGGTTTGACTGGAGTTGGGCTTAGTGGGCTTTCCGATGCATCGTTGGGCTTGGCGGATCCATAAAAGGAGATTTGGGCCTTAAGAGTTAAAGACTTGGATATTTTGGACTTGTGAAGATGGGTCATAAACTTCTATTTTTGGGCTTGGAGCATCCATTTTTGTAGCTAAATGATGATTGGTTGGTTTAAATCACATGGATATGGAGGGGACCAAAGGAATCTTTAGTAGTGGAAGGGTGGAGTGGAGGAATGAATGACCAATAGCATTACAACAACATTTGTGCGGGTGGAATTTTCGTCGCGCGGGTACCCGCACAACTGCCCAGTTTGGGCATTTTGGTCATTTGGCACACCATAACCTTGGGGGATCAGATCTAATAGCCATACTCTCGATTTTACACCATTGGAGAGCTGAAGAAGGCGATTTTGAAGCTCAAGACTCATTTCTTTTCATCTTTCCAAGTTATTGGTAGTTTCTTTATGCAATTAGACTTTTGTGATTGTTATTCTAGTGTCATGAGTGGCTAAACTCTCTATTTTGGTAGACCTTGGCTAAAACCTCTGAATGTTTGTGGGTTTTTGAAGGATTTATGCTTATTTATCATTTATCTTATGTCTATGATTCTAGTTCATATTTCCTGTGCTTGTTTAGTGCTTTGATCATGAGCTTAGTACTTTAATAAGCAATTGTTGGTTTATTTCTTTGGTTTAGCATTGAATCATTGAATTTACTTAGAACAAAGGCTTTATGATGGTAGAAATCATCTCTAGCTTATGAATCATAACTCCTTTATGGATGTGTAAGCATTGACATCCTCTAGGAATTGAGGATTTCTTCATTCTTAAGGCTAATCAACTTCTTGGATTCAATTGCTTCAATTGGATCATTGATTTTGATTAAGAAGGTGAGTTGTGGGCTTCCCCAACCTCCATACTACCTATGAGAAATCTTGGCATATCATGCTTCATGATTGTTATAACCAATTTGGGGTGAATGATAAGCTTCATGTTAAATCCTAATGATAAACACACAAATGTTCATTGTGTTGAATTGCCTTGGTTTACCAATTCTCTCCAATATTTGAGCATCTCACTTTCTTGCTTAATTGCAGTCTTTTTAGTTTTCAAGCAATCATAACACCCCTCTTTTTAGTTTAATTGTAGTTAATTAGTTTATTTTCACTAGTTCTATTGGATTGCATTGGTGATTGAATACAACCATTTCTCCGAGGATCGATACCCCTTTTTACCATTATATTACGTTTTATTTGCAAACAAAGGGTGTAATTTGCTTGGTGGACTTGACATCTCACCATTGGAGTTGTCATTCGGTTATTAGTATATGTGTGTGTTAGAGAGAGATGTGATATATAGGGCAGTAAAATCAATATTATTTAATCACCATCCTTGTTGATTTGAATTTCTAAAACCTTGAGATAAGAACGTTAAATAATATGAACTTAGGATTATCCTTCATGTTTCCAAATTTACCATTTTTCAAACCAAACGGAAATTTATGGGAATTTCATTCAAATCTTCTTGAATCCTTATAAACACTTTAAACAAAATAACACTAAATAATGCTTCACAAAACAGAAACACAAGTTGTCTTATGTATTTACACTAGAGCTTCTACATATACGAGGAGGCAGGTAAACAAATAAACGAGTGAACACAAGAGTCTCCATATATACGAGAAAATACAAGTTGTCTCATCTATTTATAGTTTATACAAAGTCATATCTATTTATACAAAAAAACGAGCGAACACAAGAGCCTCACGTGTGTCCAATTCAATTAAAGTAACAAACTAAATCAGGGGGTGTTTGTGTAAGCTTATTTTTTTGGGCTTAAGCTTATGAGCTTAAGAACTTATGAGCTTATAAGATAAAAAAGTGTTTGAATTAGCTTATGACTTATTAGCTAATAAGCATTTTAGAAAATAATGTTTGGATTAGCTTATTTTTGTAAAATGACTAAAAAGGAGAATAATATAGTGTTGGAAAAAGAAGAATTATTTAGGGTTGAGGGTTAATAGGTAATTAAGAAAATATTACAATTGTTCACAAATTTCATATTTTTAATACCACGTGTCAAATGTGATTAAGAAAATATTAGTCAATGTCTTACAATTGTTCACAAATTTCAAAATTTTAAAACTATTTATAATTATATCATAAATTGATCAATCTATCTTATGTATAAAACTAAACAATCATTCATAAATTGATTAATCTATCTTATTGCAGAAATCATTATTTATCAACTTCATTGCTGAAAAAAATATACTCCACAACGTACATTTTGCAATAAGCAAAATCAATGCCGACTTCAGTAAAATATATATAACTTTGGATATATTGTATTTTTGTTTGTTTATACCATCATTTTTGTCTTAAAATTTCTGCCTATATGTGTCAAAGCCCATAAAAAAGCGAGTTTATAAAAAATTATCATATACTATCTAGTTTAAACTAAGGTGTGTCGATTCTCCATCCACACACACATGTTTGTTGTCAAGTCCCCCTTCCATATTGACTAAAGTAAGAAGGTATAGATTCTGAAAAGAAAAAACACTACATAGGTTGTTGTTCGTGCCATAAATTAATTGCTGTCTTACACTTAAAAAGGAAGAAGAAAAGAAACGGGTCTTTGCTAGCTAGCAAATTATTCTATTATCATTACTTTGAAAAAGAAAATTCAAAGATATCTTCTTTCTTTCCTTTTCCCTTTCCCTTTAAAGTCTCTTTACATCTTTCTGTTTGGATTTCTTTCTCCATCATGCTTTTTTTCATGTCCACCATTGTTTCGGCTACATGCATAAAAAATCAATAGATAGATTATGATACATGTTAAGAATTCAATTTGGATTTTTATTGGTAGAAATGAAGAAGACCTTGTTGTGAATAACAAGTAATTGATCAGTAAGATTTAGCAAAAATTGCAACTTCATCAGCTGGATTGCCAGTCATCAAGCACTTGTTTGGGCCTTGAGGTTGTTCAAAAGGAAAACATCTAATCGTTGCCCCTGTTTCTTCTTTCACCTTCAATTCATCTTCATCACTATAATAGTAAACATAACACCAGAAGAAGATCAGAATATTTGTATTATGTGATTTTTAGAATGAAAATCCAACATACCTTCCTACCCATGGACCCCTTGCCCACTTTCCCTGTGATATTGCCTCTTTCAGTTCATCATATGACTTCACATCCACAATGTTGCTGCAGATAAATGAATACTTTAAATACCCCAAACCCAAACATGAGTAAAATTACGATATTGCCCATGATTTACATTTACCTATCTCGAAATGACTTGGCCTTATCCAAAAGGGATAACTGGATCTCCTCCAGCTTTTGTTTGACATAAGGTATGAGAACGGAAGGTTCCATAGATATTCCAAAAACCTTCCCTGGTTTTCCAGGAATATCTCTTCTAGATACAACAACACTCCCACTTGAAACATCACGAGGACCAATTTCAATTCTTAAAGGAACACCCTGTACAAAAAAAAAAAAAAAATTCATATAACTTAAAAGATGACAAAAAGGGGATAACAAAAACTCCATATAAATTAATATCTGACCTTCATTTCCCAGAAATTAAATTTCCATCCTGGTGTTCTTTGATCAGAATCATCTAGCTTCACTTTAATCCCAGCGGTATGAAGAACATCTTTAATAGACACTGCAGCATCAAGAACTTCCTTCTTTTCATTACACTTCTTCCAAATTGGCACAATCACCACCTTGTAATCACAAAACAATCTTTCAGTTGATGGAAAAAATAAAAAACGAAAATGGAGATTTTGGTTGAAGAAGCGCCACCTGTACAGAAGCCAACCTTGGGGGAAGCATTAATCCAGCATCATCTCCATGTGTCATGATGATACCACCAATAAATCTGGTGCTTATAGCCCAAGAGGTTTGCCATACATGCTGTCTTTGTCCATTTTCATCAGCAAACTGTGTTCCAAAAGCACGTGAAAAGTTTTGTCCAAGATTGTGACTGGTTCCAGCCTGTAAGGCCTTACGATCACCCATCATAGCTTCAATGGTGTAAGTTCTATCTGCTCCTGCAAATGTCTCCACCCTTGATTTTCTACCTGGAATCACAGGTATTGCAGCTTCTTCATAAGAAAATTTTGTATACACATCAATCATCTGCATTGCCTGCATTTAACAATCTGTTTGTTAGACACAACATAGACTTTTTAAAAACTAGTCTTTTACATATAAAAGAGATACAAACCTCCTTCTCTGCTTCTTCTAGAGTGGCATGTGCAGTATGCCCCTCCTGCCAGAGAAATTCAAGAGTCCTGATAAAGGGTTTGGTGCGCATCTCCCATCTTGTGACATTTGCCCACTAGTAAAGGATAAGAATGAACATGAGAATTGAGAAATGAATAATCCCTAAAAGAGATTAGCAATACAAGGGAAACCTGGTTGATCATAAGTGGAAGATCACGATAACTATGAATCCATTGGGTAAACATGTGGTTCACTATTGTTTCACTAGTGGGTCGAACCTGCAAGAGCCTCAGAAATTGCAAGAATCAAAGTCATACTCATGTCCTAATTCTCATGATTAGAAACGTAATTTGTGAGTGAATAAACAAAACAATATCAAATTAGAGGTGGAGAGTAACTATAATCAGTACCACAAGTTTTTCTTCAAGTTCTTTCCCTCCTCCAACAGTTACAAGAGCCAATTCTGGGCTGAAACCCTCAACATGGCTGGCTTCTTTCTCTATGAAGGAATATGGTATAAACTGCAAGTAACATCCATTATTTAGTTCAGTGCATTCAATGATCAACAAAAAGACAATAACTTAATAGCTACCTGTGGAAAATACATGTTGCTATGTCCTGTTTCCTTGAATTTAATATTTAAATAATCCTGTAAAAGGAAAACCAAAAGTCAAGAACTCCCTACAAGATTACTCAGTCGAATCCAGATGATAAACAAGAGCTACAAATTTGCTTTCAAGTGTATGTTTATTTTTCCAATGGTAAATAGAAACTGAAATATTATCACATATTTGGCTACGTTATACAGAGTGATCTAATCTGTGAATATGTATAGTATAATTCTTCCATACTGCTTTTGGTCACAAAGGAGTCGGAATGTAGAAAAAGTTGTTGGTTTTAGCTTCAAACAAATCAGAATTGACTGCATTTAAGTACAAAGAAGTACTACAGGAAACGTTACAGATATTAAAAGATTGAGAAAATCTAGGTTAAATTTGAAAGAAGGTAAAAAATCAAAATCGAACAGCTAGAGCTTAACAAACTTGTCTCAAAACAAACAAAAGACCTACCTGAATAGCTTCCCAAATAGCATAACCGTATGGTCGAATAACCATGGTACCACGAACAGGGCCGTAATCAGCGAGCTCAGCCTGGGAAATGACATCGAGGTACCAAGCATTGAAATCCTGGGAACGCGGCGTTATGCCTTGTTCCTGAGCAAGGGGCTTCTGGTTCGATTCAGGGGGAGCGACCTCCGTGGCAGGCGTAGTCTGGGCGAAAAGTTTGGTTGTAGTAGTGAGTTTCCGCACATGGAGCTGGTTGCTGCGGCGGAGAAACAACGAAGAGCGGCCAGAGGAGACGGCGAAAATGGAAGTGAGAGAGGGAAGCCGCAGAGCCCCCATCTGTGTGCGAATGAGACTTCAGAGAAACCAGAAAGGATGAGGGTTTGACTCTGAGCACATTTTTGCCTCTGTAATATTTTTTCATTATACACCCTAAAATAATAGAACATGTCCATTTACATCTCATAATTACAGTTTCCGACTTTCCGTCGCTATGGTTACACCTTTTTACATGTTCAAGTTTTGGAAATTTGACACCATTGATTTTTATAATTAGCAAATCTATCATTTTCAACTTTCTTGGTTTTATTTTGAGAAGTTTGTTAACTTAGCCAAAAACGCTAATTTCTTTGCAGAAAATAGTCAAAAATTAGCAAATTATACAAACTAGTCATTGAAATTGCAGGTGCTTAAGGACCATCATATGTGAATGTACAACCCTTCAATGCATGGATTTGCATTACCGACTTGTATGTTTGCATATGAAAGTTCACCTGGTATTTTGTCCTAGTCCATCTGGGATTTGCTCTGTTGAAGTATAAATACATTTTTTTTAACCCTCTTTCATGATTCATCTGTGATTTTGTCCTAGATCATCTGATTTGCTCTGTTGAAGTATAAATACCTTTTTTTTAACCCTCGTTTTTCTAGTTACAAAGTTGGAAAAATTCTTTAGAACGATTAGCGAAAATATACAAATACTCGTGAGTGGAAGCAATATATTCATGAAATATATTATATTACTATGTTTTTTTTTCATAAAAATCAATCTTTTGTGTCAAGAAAATAATATTACAAAACATTAAACATTTTTAGCGAGACAGATGGTCATTTTATGATAAAATATATAATTTTGGTGAACTAAGTACATATTAAATCAAAATATGATTATTTTAATGAATAACTTTTTTATGTAAGTTTTAATTCTACTCGGTACAAAGATTCAAACTTGATCTTAAAGATCTGTATTTTATAAAACAAATTTAAATAAGTTATTGTAGTAGTTTAAAATTGTCTATTGAAATCGTATATGCTATATTAATTAAATTTAACATTTTTGAAAAGTTAGTCATATTAAGTCCGCAACGGTATAAAAATATATCGCAAGTTTTCCCAACTGTGTAACTAGAAAAATAAAGGTTTTCAAAAAAAATGTATTTATACTTCAACGGTTCAAATCACAGTCACAAATGGGAGAGGACAAAAACACAGTTGATCTTTTATCTGCGAACGTATAAGTTGTTGATGCATATCCGTGCATTGAAGAGTTGTACATTCGCAAATGAACTAAAGAAATCAGAGATGGTCCTTAAGCACCTGCCATTGCAGTAGCTAGTTTGTGTAATTCGCTGATTTTTGGTTATTTTCTACAAAGTAATTAGAGTTTTTAGCTAAATTAGTAAATTTCTCATTTTAAAATTACTATTATCATTAAATAATAAACGAAATAAACTCCATGGCCTAGGTTGCTACAACGAGCAGATTCACCAAAGAGCCAAGCCTTTTTATTTGTTCATATTGACATGTGTCCTCTTTAGACAAGTGCATTTGAATTAATTTTGATATTTAAAACCATTTTAGTTAATAACTATATTTTACTTTAGTAAAAAATCAAACAAAATATCTTAAAATATATACAAAATAAAATCAATATTGATTTAATTTTTTTAATATAAAATGAGGTTGAGTTGGATTGATAATGAGTGTGAATAATTGAAATGGGTTGGATTGTATAGGTGAAAGAGAATCAACTTTTTCAAATTTCTAAAACTAGAACCAAATTTATAAAAGTTGTACACAACGTAATTTTAATATAATAGAAATTGAAGGAATCCTAACAAACAAAATTTTGAATTGTTTAAGCACTCAAGATGAAGTTTGTTGCATTTTGTTAAAATATTGTTAGCGAATATAACAATATAGCCAAATTTTAATGATTTAATAAAAATTTCACAATATTTTCAAAGTAATCATCAATTTCGCAATGGTTTTGTTGTGAAATGCATTATTTGCATGGTTTCCGCCGCTAATAACAAATATTTTATTGCTCACTGTAAAATGACATTGTTCATTGCAATGTGGCACCGTAAAATGATTAGAAAAAATGACTAAATTTGTTATTTAAAATAGCATGGATTATAAGATCAGGACAATGTCACTAAACCCCAAACAAATCCACAGTTGAGACGACTCATTTGGAACATTTCATTATTTTGTAGATTAAGGGAGAAAAGTTGTGGTTGTGAACCTTAGCATCTTAATTCATTGTTGCACAACTAAACTTTTGCTCCCATGCCAAATTCCTAATGTCAAAATGTGTACTCTTAAACTAAATCCTAAAGCCCAATAGGCCTAAAATATGGGTCGACCCATTTTTACCACTTATAGTTGTATTACTTATATATATTAGATAAATCCAGTTGTCCAACCCAACATAAATAACATTCAAAACTAAACACTGTGCAGTTGATGTGAGCAATTGACCGAACGAAGTAGTTTGGTGATTAGTTAAGGTGGTAATTTTACAAAGAGGTAATGGTGTTCGGTGTAGCTTTATGTTTCTCGAAAAAGCACTGTATATGTTTATATAATACGTATAAGCATAGATGTAATAAATTATAACCATTTGAAGAGTCTACAGAACTAAAAGCATACATGTCAAATTTGATTCTTGAAGTATTTTGTTTAAAACTGTGATATAAAAGTGAACTTTATTAACAATAATACAGTTCTCCTCATTCAAATGCAATACTAATTGTATGTACAACACCAGAACGTAATGCTATAATGTATAAAAATTTCAAAAGGCCATGTATTTTGAGAGATATATAAATGTTAATTTCAAAATCCCACTTATGGTTTTATGAAAGATAGTGGGGTTTTTTATTTGTTTATTTTAGCGTCTTATTTGTAATATAAAGAAATAAAGTAACTGTTATAAACTTATAATATATAACACATAAAAATATATAGTTATTTCTTACGTTTAACCTAACACAAAACAAGTACGACAACGAATGCATTCATTGGTGATGTATGTCCTGTGTTTTAAATCAAATAAATATAAATCATTTGTCAACAATAATTCCTAGGGAAAATATGAAAATGACCAGTAAATATTTTATTTGTCCATTGTTAGTTAGTGAACTTATTTTTGTTCATTTTTAGGTAAAAAAAAACTTTTTTTAAATCGTCGTTTTTAGTCTCTTTAACTAGACCTGGTAGGTAATACCGGTTAAACTTTAAAGAAAATTTTATAAATTACCAAAGAACTATTTCATTTGTTATTTTTTATCACTCAACTTATTTTTGTCCACTTTTAGATAACAAGCTTTCTAAATGATCTTAATTGGCTTACATGACATTTTTTTAATGATTTCTATTAAAACTTAATTAAAGTGTTAGAACATCATGTTTTTTTTAAGGCAAAGCCACCATACCTAATTCGATTTCTCTCTCCTAGACGGACCGGGTCTCTTTTTTAGAAATACTAAAATACCAATTCATACTTATAAACTCTATGCCATCTTAATTTTAATAAAGTTTTAGTCCAAATCATCAAAGAAAAATGCCACATAAGCATGTTAAAAGCTATAACTGGTCTTGGAAAATTCATTACTTACAAAATAAGTTGATCGATTAAAATGAACAAATGCATAGTTAACATTTTCCCTAAATTTTTAATGATATTACAAAATGAAACTAAAATAAAACAATTTTGAAACCACATATTTACAAAATGAAATTACGTAACCACCTATAACAGTGTATGTACTCTTCCTGGTTCTTAAATTCATAACGATAAGAATGTTGAACACATAAGGCAACTAGCCAAAGTTTTCATAACCATGTATGTTCTAATGTTAATCAATTTTTCTGTATTATGTTAAAAATAAAAACTCATATATAATCTATCGATTTTTTTTTGTCATCATTACTAATTATAAAAAATAACATGCATCTTCATTGGTACCATACTATAAAGAAAAAGTGACATACATTGCTTAATATGGTGAAGACATGAACCATATAAGTTTCACCTTTTACGGATGGAAAATTTACTAAGGATTCAGATGATGCAGTCACCGGCCTGTAAGTCTGATGCATTTCATAAATTGGTCCGTGGCATAACATCCGTTGCCTACATACATTAATAAGGCTGTAACTAGTTTCACACCCATATAATTAATATAATTCTGCATTTATGACTTGTACCTTCTTCTTTGTCTACTTCCAGAGTATCCAAGTACAAGCTTTTGTGTCCAATATATCACACATTAACATCACCTGCCATCCATTAATTACTTATATAGATTCTTTTCCTATTAAGTAATTCAAATTTTATCAAGATTTATTGTGCATATGAACTCTAAACATATAAAGAAGTGTAGTTTCATAATCTTCCTCCCAAATTGGAGGGATTTGGAAGGAATTAGGCTTAATCACGTCATTAAAGCGTAATCCTCTCTTTCCTTTCTTTCTAACTTAGGCACGTCAAAATACAATTTTCTTTCTTTTCCCACCCTTCATTTTCGCTCCATATTTTCATTCCCTTCTTTTTTTCCTTTACTAAAATAGGGAACTAGGTTGGGATGTGGTTTTATTCGAATTATTGTAAAAAATTAGAGTCTAATGAGCTAAAAATCATTTCATACACTTTACCTTTAAGAGCAAAATGTAGGAGAATACAAAGACGAGCTATAAGAAAAGTTGAAAAAATCACAACCGAACTCAATTAGGCTCAAATGTTATCTTGACAGAAGCCTGAAACGACAACATTATGGGGAAGAAGATAGTAGAGTTGCAGTGTTCTTAGGTGTGTCAAAAATGGTTGATTATAGATTTAATACAGTTTAAAATTGAATTGCTTGAAATTCGTCGATTAGAAAAAAAATGACCACTCTTGCACATAAGTTTAGTGGCTTATTTGCAAATCCGCAAATTTAAAGATTGTGACTATTAGCATATCATCCTCTCTAATAAATGAAAGTTTTTTGCCACTTGTCATACTCTCATTCAATTTGTCAAATGTCATTTTATGATTATTTTGATTTTTTTTTCACATGTCATTTTATGAGTATTTATATTTTATTAAATTTCACATAATATTTTAATGTAATAATTGCAATAAAT